ACACCAGCTTGCCCCACTGGAGCCCCTGGGCGGCCCCCCACACCCCCACTCAGCTGAGCCCCCACTGCAGGCTCCCCCAGCACGGCCCCCCTCGCCCCGTGGCCTGCCCGCCGCTGGCAGCGAGCCCCACTGCACACCACGTCCTGTCCCACCGCCGGGGGGGGGGGACGGGGGGGTCTACACCCACCCCAGGGACCCCACAGCCTGGCCCAACCATGGGGTCCCCCACGCATGGGCATGGAGAGGGGGGGACAGCAGAGCCCCAGAGCTCGGCACGGCTCCCGGCTCCTCTGGGACAGGGGAAACGCAGCCCCGGCTCGGTGTGTCCCGTCCCACCGCCACGGCCACACTCACCCGGGATGGGGCTCTGCTCTGCCCCACACCACCCCTCCGGTGTCCCGGCCCCGGGACAGCCCGGCCACGGCTACGGGCAGGTTCTGCCAACACAGCCGGGCTCCCGGGGCGGCCGTTTCGCAGGCTGCGCGTTACAGGAAGGAGCGGAGAACAGCTATTTCCTTCCAAAATGTCAGCTGCCTGCGCAGGGCAGCCAGCCCCGGGCTGCCAGCAGCTTCCTCTGCCATGGCTGCCTGCGCGGTGCCACCGAGGGAGCGGGGCTGGCACCCCCTCTGCCCACAGAGTCTGGCACATCCTCTATTCCCAGTGGGTCAGCGGGGCTGAACCCCCCTCTGAGCCCCCCCAAGCAGCTGGAGATGGGACCCCAGGGACTGATGCAGGAGCAAAGTAGGGGGGAAGATGGGACAGACTCGCCTGTGCCCCCCATCTCTGCTCGTCCCCCCACATCAGCAACACTGGGGTGCTGGCAAACAACCCCTGGCATCCCCCCGGCCCCACTTGGAGCTGCTGGGACGGGGGTCGGGGCTGGTGGGCACCGGGGCAGGATGAAGCCAGCCGGGAGGGTCGTGGGGCTGGGAAGGGGGCTGCTCACCCCCCAAATTTCACCTCTGCCCGTGGTTTCCAGCTCCAGGCTGGGGAGACGAGCTCCTTCTAGAAGCTCGGTGCTTTGATGGCTTTTGTTTGTCTCCTCAGAAGAGCAGCAGCAGCCACCGACTCACCAGCCCCAAGTAACGGGGTGAATTCTCCTGTTTTTTGGCTCCCAAAGTTGCCGGGACGCCCGAATGGGCATCCCGGCAACTTTGGGAGCCAAAAAACAAGGAACTCACACCATTACAGGAACAAGGAAACCCCACGCACTGCCTGATGCTGCCCAGAGAGAAACCAGCCCCACGCGAGCAGAGACACCCCAGTTGGGGACCGACGCTGCCCCCCAAGTGCTGGGGGGGGTCTCAGGGCCAGGGGTTGCCTGCAGCTGAGCTCAAAGCACGGGCCCGGGGCTGGTACTTGCCCGTTGGCATTTGCCACCCTCGGGAACAGGTTTGTTGTTTTTTTTTTGGTTTGTTTTGTTTTTTTTCCCCTCTTCAGATTTTCCCTTCCAACCACAGAGGCCCAGAAACCTGCGTCAAAGCAAAACCACAAAAATACCCAATAAAATCCCAGAGAATTCCTGTGAATCCAGGGGTTGGGACCTAGAGAAAAACCCACCCCACTGCACCAAGAGTTGCCCTGGGGCAGCCACAGGCACCCACGCTGCCCCATTGGGATCCCCTCAAACACCAGCAGGACCCAGGGCAGAACAGGGGGGTCACAGCCACGATGCCACCCCCTTGGCCAAACTCTCCACAGCAAGGTCCAACCTCAGTCCCCCCCATCCCTCAGGACACCGGGTGCCCAGGACCACCCTCCTGGCACAAAGAGCTGGCTGTGCCAGACCCCACGCGGGCTGGAGGCTGTGGCTACACAGGAACAACGGGGGCTTGTCTGTGCTCTGGGGGGGGACTGGGGGCCGAGCAGCACAGTGCAGGCAGCCTGCCCACCCTTCTGGTTGCAGGCAGCCACACCAGAGCAGGAGCGGGCACCGGTGGGCAGGACATGGCGTGCAGCCCCTCCAGCAGAGCCCAGAACCCACCTGGCCCCCACCGGCACGAGCCCAGCGTGGGTCCTGCGGGACACCCGCCGTGGGGACCCCAATCCCCACCGTAAGCTCACAGACAGGATTAGAGAGACCTGGGCAGAGCTTTAATTACTCCCGGCTCCCTGGGGCCAAGCAGCCGAATTAGCCGGCTGCGGGGCTGGCACGGCAGGGAGCTCCCAGCTCTGATGCCTCAGGTCCTGGGGGCTTCCCCTGGGCTCGGTGGGGGGGTACCAGGGTGGGCACGGAGCCACTTCATCCCACTGCCCACCCCCAGCATCCCTGCTCCAGGCAGGCACTGACCCTCACCTGGAAGGGGACGTGCAGCCAGGGCACTCAATGAAGGTATTTTTCCTCCCCAATAATAACGACCCACCCCAGCCCCTGTAACGCTGTGGAGGGGGTGAAACGTCCCCCTGCAGGAGGTGAAGCCCCCCAGGAATCACACACCACCCCGATGCCTGCTCCAGCCCAGTGGGGAGGGCCCCGCTCCGGTCCCCATCCTCCATCCCAGAAGGAAAGAGGCATCACCCCAGAGATGGCCCTGGGGAAGGGCAGGGAGGTGACAGCATCCCAGTGACCCCCCCCAGGATGGGGCAGCAGCTTCAGGCAGATCTGGGACAAGGAAGAAGCCCCCACGCTCCCCTCCAGCTGGTTCAGCCTCGTGTTGCCCCCTCCAACAACCCAACCCAGCCACCTCCCAGGGAGCCCACAGCCACCTCGAGGTCCCACACCAGCCCCTGGCACGAAGACCACCCCTGGCACCAAGCCCCGGGTTCCCTGCTAATCCCTGCTCAGACCAGCACCAGCCCAGGAGAGATGGGCTGGTCAGAAGGACCTGAGGATTAAGCTCATTTCAGCGTCGAATTAGTCCCGATTGGGGTCTGGAGACACAATTTCATTTTATCTGCCACGCTCCGGCGGGCACACACAATGGCACTAATCCGGGCGCCGGCCGGGATGGATTTGTGGAGCAGGACCCAGGTGGGCAGGGGCAGACGCCGCGGCAGCACAGACACCGTGGCACCGAGACACCGTGCTCCTGCTCCCCGTGGGGCAGGAGAGACCACGCAGGAGGCTCCCCCGAGCCGTGGGACCAGCCCAGCCTCACACCACGGGCACCTGGGGGGCTGGGGCAGGAGATGGAGAGGCAGGGGGATGAGAGCCCACCAAGGGCACCCGCTGCCCTGCCCGGGGAAGAGGCACTGACAAGGCTGTGAGACAGCACAGGGCAAGGGCAGGACCCACCGTCCAGCCCCATTTTGGGGGGCAAACCCTCACACACCCTCATCTTCAAGAGCAAACACCCAACGTGGGCTGCAAGCACCCGGCTGCGCACGAGGATACTCCGGTAACGGGGGATGCCAGGTGCTGCTGCACGGTGCCGGGGAAACCCTCGCAGATGTCCCAGCCCAGCAGCACCCATTGCCCCTGCCCCACAGCGCTGTGCCCTGTGCTCTCAGGCACCAGGAGAAGCCATGGTGTGGGGACAAGCAGGTCCCCCAGGAGCATCCCCTGCATCCCCCTCCAGGGTGATGCTCTCCCACCAGCTCAGCGGAGCAGAAGGGAGGGGGGTAGAGCCTTACCAGGAGGGGGACTAGTCAGAACGGGAATAAAAACCCCAAAACACTAATGGTTTCTGCAACAAAATTCTCATTCAGAGCGGGTAAACCTCAGCCAAACCTGGCCAGGGGTTAAACACAGCACCCAGCCATCCCCAGACGGGTGCGGGTGGGAGAGAGCTGGGTTTCACCTCTCCTCGCCCCAGGAGGTGCCAGGACAGAGCAGAGCCCCGTTCTGCCCCATAAATGCCCCACAGAAGCCTTTCCAACAGGCTCGGGTGACTGACGGGGATATAAACGGAGCGCTCCGGGCCCGGGCAGCTCTGCCACCCGGAGCCACAGCCCCGAGCCGCGCGTTAACGCCACCAAATAGGACAGAGATCATTTTACAGCTGTTTTAGCCGGTGCAAAGGGCTTGGATACGCCACGAGCGAGAGCTGCCCCTCTCTCTCTGCTAAAAGCTTTGCCGACAGCCGTGGAGAGAGAGGGACAAAGCGCCAGACGGAGGGTGCCCCCGCGACCGTGCCCATCGGCCCCCCGAGCTCTGCCCCGGCACCAGCCTTTTCCCCAATTCCCTCCCTGGCAGAGCCACGCTCCGTCCCAACCAGCCTTTGCATCTCAATAACAACAGGAAGACACGAAGTTGTTGCAGCGAGAATGGAGATTGCAAAACTCACCAGCGACCCAACAGGGAGCGAGTCGTGACCATGTTACGGTCGTCGGGCTACGCCAACGGCGGCCACCCCGGAGCCCGGCGAGGAGTCACCCGGCAGCACAGGGCTCCCCGGCCGGGTGGGACACGGGGGGCTGGCACCGGGGGGAAGAGCAGGGCAAGGAGAGAGCCTGCCTTCGAGCAGCCAGCTCTCCCGGCCCCTCTGCTGCAGCCAGATGGGTGGATTCTGCTTTATCAGCAAGTCAGGGCGGCACTATCGGCCAGGAAGCCGTGCTCGCCTGCGTGCCTCCCCCTCGACATTTCCCAACGCGGCGGCGGGAGAAGCGGTTCAGGGCAGCCTACCTTTTATCAGCCAGCAGATGTTGCTAGAACTGCTGCTGCCTGTAAAAAAAAAAAAAAAAAAAAAAAAAAAAAAAAACCTCGAAC